TGGATGGTGTGTGTTGGTCTCATTGTAAAGACTTTTGTCTTCTGTACGTTGATGTGTGATCCATCCTGCAGACTGCAGTCTCTGACCTTCCTCAGTCTCAAGTCCCCTCAGTTTTCACCAAGCAAGGCCATGTCATCTGCATATCACAGTTCGTTTGTTAATAAGCCTTAATCTAATTCTGATGTCACGTTCTTCTTACTATCGTCCAGCTTTCATTATTCATAACAGCCCTGTAGGACAAAGGACTGTCCCTTTGCGTTTCCAAGATTTTAAATCTTTATACAGAAGACGACTCCGTGTATATGTACTGCTAAAAGTGTTGTGACATTATCTTCAGCAGAAGTTTACTTGCATGTCATATTAATGATATTGCTTGATTATTTCCACATTTTGTTGGGTCACTTATCTTTGGAGTGGATCTCTTTCAGTTGGTTCAAGATGTAGCTGTCTTTCAAATTTCTTGGCATTGACTAGTCGGTACTTCCAATGATGCTTGTTTTTGAAACATTTCAATTGAATATCCATTACCAATATTAAATTCTCTACATTCTTATTAACAATCTTGTTAAGCATTAACCCATTCATTGCCGTTGAGTCAACTCTGACTCCCAGTGACAGGGTTTCTGAGATGGTAAATCTTCATATGAGAAGATGGCTGAGGTAGTTTGTTTATTGTGCCAACCTGGCTGATAAACACATGTGGGGTTAATTGAAGGGTAGAGGGATAAATGGCTCGATGAGCTTCGCCTTTCTAGTTCTCAGGTCTCTTGCTCTCTGATGGTTGGACCAGGGTGCAGCAGCCTTAGCCAGTTCTCTGCTTCAGCTAGCAAGGCTTACTTCCTGCAAGACATCCTCAAGGAAAAGCCGCATAGACCTACCCCAATGCAGCCCTGGGTGCTGGAGCAGTCGTGTGGAGACTTCTGCCAGTGCTCAGATGCTCACACGTTCACTGATTAGGCTTTTCTCCTGCAGTCGGCATCATTGTGTCTGTTTTGTGAGATGGAGGAGGACGTTGTGGATTGGTGTCGGACATATGGGTTAATGTTGGACTTGTGGGCTTGGGTAGCACTGGGTTGGGATGTTTTCTTGATGTGCCCTTACCCTATATATAAAACACTCTCTTATCCATATGAGGTTCTGTGGATTTGTTTCTCGAATGTTCCCAAACTCACACACTGGCCCTATCTTTCTCTTGTACAGGGATTAGTGGGTTTGAATAACTGACCTGTAGTCAGCAGCCTCGTATTATACCCGCAGCACCACTAGGGTTCCTTAAATAAACATTCATATTTATCAAATTAACTTGTAGATTTTGGCATGGTAGATACATTGAAAATGTGTTTTATTATTGTCTTATAAAACCCACTGAAGGTGAAGAAAAATTCCAAAGCCACTTGGTTTTATTTGTTTTGAAACTATTATGTTGTCACAGAGTTAGGGCATGAGTCAGGGTAATTTTATATTTTCTGAATGATCCTGATTTTGTTAATGGAGTGCCTTGTCTGGGAGAATCAAATGCGCTGTCATTTTTCATTTTTAGCTTTGACATTTAGGTAGTTTTGAAGGTGTAATATGATATATAATAAGGAGGGAAAAGTATAAGCAATTAATTTAGCCATTGAGACTGAGGAACTTTATTGCTTGGAGCAAAACATGTACATTTGTATTTACAGATATGATCTTCTAATTTAATTTCCTCTTTCTGAGTTGATATGTGATACTTTTATTGTGAATTAATTTTCTGTTTCTTATCTACTCCATTGGATATAAGTGCCATGATATCCTTGAGTGTCCATGTTTGCACAAGTGTCTAGTTGTGGCTTTGCTCCTTGAAGATATGCAATCTTTGAATCCACTCCTACACTCATCGTGGATGCTTAATCTGTAGCCAAGGCAGAGATAAGGCACTCTGTTTCTCATGTAGCTTTGTGTAATTGGTTATAGGTAGAGCATAATATACAGGCTGAAGAGTTTTTACAAGAGAATGAGGAGCTAGTAGATCAGCATGGCTGAATTGCCATCTCACTACAGGTGCCTATATCCAATGCTGCCAGATGTTGGACTCTTGAAGGATTCTATGGGGAAATATTGAGTGGTACTCCTTGCATCAAAATAATATGAAAGTAATATATATGTAAAGAGTCACTGAACCAAAAGTTAATTGATATTCAATCATTTTAAGAAGTAGCATATGATCAAGAATCAATGGTATTGCCAGAAGATGTCCAAGTTGTAGTTAAAGCATTAGGGAAAACAAGGCTTAAAGCATTGACAGAATGCCATTTGCAATACTTCAACAAACCGATGCCGTGCTGGAAATATTCCCTAATGCATACCCTGTTTCCCCGAAAATAAGATAGTGTCATATTAATTTTTGATCCCAAGGATGTGCTAGGTCTTATTTTCAGGGGATGTCTTATTTTTCCATTAAGAAGAATACGGTACACATTTATTGTTTTATTAAAAGAGACCCCGCACTTCTGTCTGCTTTGGCTGCACTGCGGCCAACAGTGAGCTGCGTGGCGACGCCTGCCGCTATGGTCCAGAGTCCAGAGGTACGGTAGCTTTGGGGGACCTTATTTCCAGGGAGGTCTTATTTTTGGGGGGGTTCATTATATTTCAGCGAGAGGCAAAACTGTAAGTAGGTCTTCTTTTCGGGGGATGTCTTACTTTCGGGGAAACAGGGTACTAAGAAAGCTGGAAGACAGTTACCTGGAAGGGACTGATGGGAAGGGATTCATATTTGAGCCCACTTCAAAGAAAGGTTAACCAAGAGGATACAGACATTATTGAGCAATACATTAAATATCACATGTAAGTAAACTTTTACTTATGATAATTCAACAATGCTTGCAGCAGTACATCTGCAAAAATTCGAGCCAGAATCTGAAGAGTTCATGGAACAAGGGATGTCATTGGGGATGTCAGATGAATTTTGACTGAAACAGAGAATACCAGAAATAGCCTTACTTGTGTTTTATTGACTATTCAAAGATATTAAACAGTGTGTGATATAATGTAGACTAAGAGGCAGTTGTTCCAATAGGACAAGGGAATGCTGCATGGTATAAAATTTAGAAAAGTATGCAAATTGGTTTTATTTTTCACCAGATATATTTCATCTGTCCACTGAGCAACCAAACATGACTCTATGAAACTAGATGATGGGGAGAAGAGAGCAGCATCCAATTTGGAGGAAGGCTCATTAACCTTTGAGAAGCAGGTGACACAGCCTTGCTTGCTGAGCATCAGAAAGACTTGAAGCACTAATTGGTGAAGATAAACTACAGATAGTGTATGCATTAAAACTGAATATGAAGGACACAAAAATCTTCACAGGACCAATAAGCAACAGTCTGATAAAGGAAGAAAAGGTTGAAACTGTTAAGGATTGCATTTCGCTTGGGTTCACAATTAACACTCTAAGGAGCTGTATTCAAAAAAATAAATTAGTGCATTGGGCAAAATATACGGCAAAAGACTTCTTTAACATGAAAGAGCAGAGTTGTCATGTTGAGGAGTAAGTGTAGCTGACCAAAGCCATGGTGTTTTCTGTTGCCCTATATCCACGTGAAAGGTAAACAATGAATAAAGGATATTGGAACATAATTAGTGCTTTGAATAGTGGTGTTGGCAAAGAATATAGAAAGTGTCACCGACTGTCAGAAGAAAACCAAATCTTAGAGGAAGTACATCTAGAAGGCTCCTTAGGAGCAAGGGTGGTTATACTGCTTCAGGTACTTCGGATGTGTTATCAGTTGGGACCGATCCCTGGAAAAGGACGTCATACTCGGTAAAATAGAAGGTCAGAGGAAAAATGGAATATCCTCAAGAAGATGGATTGAAACTGTGCCTGTCATAATCAATGCACTCAAACATGATGGTCGTTGTGATCACGGGACAGGGTCCAACACTGTTTGGGGTACACAGATTGTCTTGAGTTAGCACTGACTTGATGGCACCTAAGAACAACAACAATTATTGCTTTGGATATTATAATCAATATTAACCCTAAATATATTATAATTTTCTTTGAATTAGTATTGTATAAAATATAGGAAACAAAGAATCCACTTGCAGTTCTCTCACAGTTTGTGCTACCAATATCTTATGTTTTACTTATATATAGCTTGAATTCAACAACGTATTGCTATCTTTACTGTTTTGGTAAATTTTGTCTTTTTTAAAAACTATTTTATTGGTGGCTCTTTTACCTGTACTCACCATCCATCCATCCACCCACCCACCCACCCATCCATCCATCCATTGTGTCAGGCACATTTGTACATATGTTGCCATCATCATTTTCAAAACAATTTCTTTCTACTTGAGTCCTTCGTATCAGCTCCTAATTTTCCCCCCTCCCTTCCCCAACCTCCCTCATGAACCCTTGATAATTTATGTACCTACATATAAGCCCCCAGGGGGATGAACAACAGAAAAATGGGTAAAGGGGGACAGCGGTCAGTGTGAGATATGAAAAAAAAATTTATGTTATGTCTTTACAAATTAAGAAAATAACAGTAATTTTTACTTCCTCACACTTTCTGCTTTTCTTCCTGTGGTGAGTGGTTATGTAGGAAGGGAAAACGCAATAAAATAAAATACATAGCTAGAAATGCAGGGCTGGACTAGATGAGGTACTTGGAAATAATAAACACACAAAAACATTGAATTAAGTAGATTTCCAAACAAACTAGGTTGAAAAGGTGTGTTTTATTTGTTGAGTAGATGTATGCTAGATTTAGTTTGAAAGGTTTACTTGTATTTTTTGCTTGTTTCTATAAATATACTTAAACCTTTTACACTATTGTCTCTGCATTTTGGTTAGATCATAGTCCTTTTCATAAAATGATAAAGTTAGACTGTTGATAGAAAATATCATTGCTCCAAAAGTTCATTATTACATCTATTAACTTAATTTCATCTGTGTTTATATTTAAAACTATTGCTGAAAATCTGTAAGCTTATTTGGTATATGGATCAAAAGTTCCCATGTCTCAGTGTTTCCTCCTGAGCCAATGCCTCCTCATCAGTTTTCTCATAGCCCCATGAACCTCCTTGTTCCTCAAGCTATAGATGATAGGATTGAGCATGGGGGTGACGATGCCATAGAACAGGGCAATTAGTTTGTCAAAAGCAGAGTCTTTGGACTTTGGCTTCATATACATAAAGAGAATTGTCCCATAAAATACAGTTACCACAGTTATGTGGGCTGAACAGGTCGAAAAAGCTTTTTTTCTTCCTGCATTTGAATTCATTCTCAGCACAGTAGACAGGATGAAAAGATAAGATATACAAATCAGCAATAATGGGGAAAACAGAAATATCACATTGCCCAGCATTATAGCTATCTCATTCATAGAAATATCTGCACAAGCCAGCTTGACAAAGGCCAATATTTCACAAAAAAAATGATTGATGAAATTTTTCCCACAGAAGGGCAACCGGGTTGCAAGAACAGTTTCTGTCAATGAGTTGAGAAAACCCAATCCCCAGGAGACAGCAGCCATCTGAATACACAGTGCCTTGTTCATGAGGACGGTGTATCTGAGAGGGTTGCAGATGGCCACATAGCGGTCAAATGCCATCACCGCTAGGAGCACACACTCTGTGGAGCCCATAGTATAAGAGACGGACATTTGAAGAACACATCTAGTGAAGGAGATGGTTTTTTTCTCTGACAAGAAATGTATCAGCATTGTGGGGATAAAAGACGATGTGTACCAAATGTCTAGGAAGGAAAGATTGCCAAGAAAGAAATACATGGGTGTGTGGAGGTTGGAATCCAGGATTATTAAAATGATCAAGGTACTGTTTCCCAGGAGGATTACCAGGTACATCAACAAACACATCACAAAAAGTATTTTTTCAGCTTCGGGGTACTCAGAAAGTCCCTGCAGAATGAATTCAGTCTCAGTTGTCCAGTTGGTCTTTTCCATGTTCCTTTATTTAATAGCTGAAACAATCCAGAAAAGTAAGCTTCATGTCTCTGTACATAAGAAGTATCGTAACACATGGTGTTTGTCTTTTCAAGTAAGAGATATTTGGGCAGCAAGTGTGTCACCATTAGATGGTGCATGGTAAGAACTATGATGTTAGCTTTTGAAATGCCTCTTTTAGGTCACATAGCTTATAAAGCACTGGATTGCAGGTACATACAAATTGCATACCTAACTTCTTTAAACTGCAAATTTCTACATTTCATTCCCTGAGCTTGTTATGCACAAGGTCCTAAGCATGGAAGAGCAATTTACTTTTGTTAACAGGCATCTATCACTTCTGATATGGTTAATCCACTGACTTCACTTTGAAAACCGAAGAGATTGTTCTATGTACTCCAACGAAGATTTTTTTACTGCATCATACCAATTATTAACATTAGAGTATAATTATGATTTCATAATTTACAAATAATTATAGACATTATACTTTACAAATTTTCTAAAGGACTCTTTTGATCATCACTCTACTTAAGTGAAGAAAAAGAAATTCAATGGAGTTAATTAAGTTTATTTCTAATAATATTAAATGACTATGCTGTACTTTTTTCTGATTTTAAATGTCATGTGTTTTTTACTACACTTCATGGCTATCCAGAAATTTTATAAATTAGGCAAGGGCTTGTAACCGGGTAACATGTTTTGGTTATGTTCTGACATCTCTCCCAGGAAACAAGCCATTGATCTACTTGAGTACTTCTCAAACTTTAGTATGCATCCCAATCACCTGAGGAATTTTTTTAATTACATAATCGGACTCAGTGGGTAGGGCCACTGGGCTGAGCTTTTCCTTTATCAACTTGTCCCACATGCTGCTGGTGCTGCTTGTCTACAGAACCCATCTGAATAGCGAGACCCTTTCCTCTTTCTCTGACTCCAAAGAGAGCAGAGGACCTTTGGACGGCAGACAAGGTGAAGTGGAGCACTGGCGAGACTCAGTAGTCAGACCTCTGTGCAATTTGTGGCAAGTGGTTATGTGTTCTTTAGATTTTAAAGAGACAAGCAATCAAATTGCACACAGAAGCTTCTGTCTTGTATTTTTGCTCATATAAAAAGTCATGCCTCTTTCACTTATTGCACATGTATGAGGTCTTTTTCTCAAAGAAGAGATTTTTTATCAACTCAAATGCTTTTGTCCTGCCCCAAAGATTATGAAACAAATGACTTAATTTGGGGAAAAAAATGGAGAGTAGATTTTAGTAATTTAATCACAGAATGTCCTTTTAAAACAGATTTTCATTCTTATTTTTTAAAAATCACGGCTACATAATATCTTCCTGGAGAAATAAACAAATTTTGGTTCAACAATGGCTATGATTGTGGCCTAAAATGTGCCCGGTGGTTGTCATTTGCCAAAAGTTGCCCTGCTTTCTGTGGAAACTCCAGTTTATAATGGGCAGATAATTTCGTCAGCATAGACAGAGATTCATATTTCTAACAGACATGAAAAGTATGGTGCTCCTCCCATTCAGACCGCATTCCTCTTCGCTGAGGTTTCCTAAGCAGGGCAGGGGTGCATTTGTAAGCCAACATATACTCCTATTGGTCACTGTTTGTGAGTAGAATTTAATAACAACAGAAATATGAGAACGTGAAAATTTTAAGTATTTCTTCTCTTGCGTTGACCACAAGGTCCTAATAAACTTACATTTATAATTGTGTTTTCTCCTCTATTATGTATTGTTTTTTCTAGTCTTATTTTCACTTCAAATATCTCTCATTACAACTTTGTTCAAATCTTTGTTGGACTTAGTTTAATATACGATATATATATCACATGATATATATATTAACATGTGCTCTTTCATTGGAAAACTGTTTGTTAGGATTTCCATTAACTCAAATTTGAATTGAGTAACATCAGAATTTATTGATAAATACATTGCACTTATATCATGGATTACAAAAGCCATGTTTTCCTTAGTAGTTTTCCCATGAATTATTTCTGATCAAAATAAAGTTAAATCATGACCTGGCTTGAGAGGTGGTATCTGAGTTTTACTAATTTTGTCCTTTATAGAGATACAGTGAACCCTCGCCACTTCGCACTTCGACTTCCGCGGCTTCACTCTATCGCGGTTTTTGCGTAACAGCGCATGCTCTGTCATTACTGCCACTGATTGGCTCATACTGTACACGCTTCTGTCTGCATCGCTACGTATCGGAGCTACGTATCAGATGCATTTTTGCTTTTGTACAGTGTACTGTAATTGTTTGCAATTTTTAAGAAATTTTATCTAAGCCCTATGATGGCTCCTAAACGAGCTGCTTCTTCTAAGCCTTCTGACAATAAAAATAAGCGCCAGAGGAAGATGCTCACCATCCAGGAAAAGGCAAAACTTTTGGATATGATCAAAGATGGCAAGATAATCATGGAGGTTGCACGCCATTTCGACTTGAATGAGTCTTCCGTTCGCTCCATCCGTAAAGAGGAAACAAACATCCGTGCTACGGCTACTTTCACTTTCAACAAGGAAGCAAAGCGCATCGTGACAAGTCGTAATAAGTTCATAGTTAAAACGGAGTCTGTCCTAGCCGTTTGGATCAATGACAGGCGCAAGAAAAACATTCCGTTGGATTCGATAGTCATCCGGGAGAAGGCAAGGCAGCTCTATCAGCGTTTTACAGCAGACAAACCTCTACCAGAATCCTCTTCTGCAATCCTCTATGCTCTAACTACGAAAACATTTGATTTACAAATAAGGAATCCTACTTCGCGGAATTTCATTTATCACGGTAGAGTCTAGAACCGATTAACCGCGATAAACGAGGGTTCACTGTATTCATATCTTAAAATCTAATAAACAATGACCACTTAAATTAAAATATTTATGATAAGATGAGTTTCTTTTGAAATGATTATAACAAAACCGTTCCCCTCTCTTACCTCCAAAATGGGTTTTCATTCATCGACATCATTCCATTCCATTAAGTAATAGGAAAACATCTCCAAAATTTTAATTTCATTGTCCTTCTTCAGAGATCAGAAGAGTCTCAATTCAAAAGATCATTGTGCCTCTTTCCTTACAAGCGATATGATAAATAATAGCCACAACTTTTGAAAGTCGATTTAGCACTTGTTTTACAAACTTCTTCAATCCCTAAGGCCATGAGTTAGAAAGTTAGAATTCCCTAGGGATAAAGTCCCAATTATCTTCACTAACAAACCAAAATGAGAAAGAAAAAAACAACAAAACTTCCTCAGTCATACATCTTTTTATATATTTAGTGAATATTGTCTTACTTGATGATCATTTCATAAGTTGACATAGAAAGTGAAAAACTATCAGGATTTATAAATTTCTCCAAGGTCATATTTCTTTGGTTACTAAAAGTATATTCATTCAACCCTCTTATTTATTTTTAAATCTGTAAAGATTAAATATTCTAAGGATATTAAATATTAATTCTCCTGAATAAGTAATACTAGCCGAATCTAGACTGTATAAAACTAAAGTCATTTTACCTTATTTGGGGTACTTAAAAAAACTTTATTGTGAATTGGTGAGGATTTAAAGAGCAAATCAGTTTTGCATTCAGCAATTCACATACATATTTCATGCCGTTGTCGGGTTTGAGGTCTCACTTTAACATCACATACTAGTTCTCCCATGTGTGTTTTTAAAAAATTATTTATTTTATTTTATTTTAAGAAAATTGTATTGGGGGATTTTACAGCATTTATAACATTCCATATATCAATTATATCAAGCATATTTGTACATATGTTGCCATTATCATTTCTAAACATTTACTTTCTATTTGAGTCTTTGGTATCAGCTCCTCATTTTTCCCTCCCTCCCCCCTCCCACCCTCGTGACCTTTTGATGAATTATAAATTGCCATTCATCTTCTTTTCTAATGCTTCCTGTCTTCTGAACTCTTGTCTTCAGGCAAATGTTGCCCCTTTGATCTAAAAGGGTTAAGTTCCTGGAGAATCCATCTTGGTGCAATTCTTTAGCTGTCATTCTGACCCCTGGAGATATGAGCTCTTTCAAACCACTCTTACATTCATCTGCTAATGTTTTATCTATAGCTAATACAGAGATAACGCACCTTTCTCCTCAGGGACCTCTGTGGAAGTGGGTAAGAAACAAAGAGTAAGTTACCAGAGGAAAAGTTCTGACAAGAGAACACACAAACTGGTAGATTTGGATGGCTGAATTGTCTCTTCACTGCAGATGCCCAGATGGAAGGCAAGCAGATAGTAAAGGGATAGAAATATTTTTGTTATGATTAGTGCTATGTAGCATTAGAATGATATGTTCACTTGGATATTTAAACTTAAGCCCTTTGAAATTAAATAACAACTTTGAGCTATACATAATTAAGTTTGATCACCCCAGGAGCTCTTGCTTACCATTTTGTCATATCTAGTTTAAATATACTCTGGATGGATCATCTCATCCTCCTGCCTACAGGAGGATATCTGATCATGCGACCCCTGTTGGCACTCTTGTGCTTGCACTTTCTACAAGATTCAGCTTTCTGTAGTACATTCTCATGTACGTAGTATGTATGAACAATTTCATCTGCATTGATGAATAATTTGCTCTTCTGTATCCTTTAAGACTACCACTTTTCTGTTGGTTCATCATATTATGGTTGTTTCTGTGTTCCTGTGATGCTGGCAGCTATGTCACAGGCATTTTCAAATACCAGCAGGGCCACTCAATGTGAACAGGTTTCAGCAGAGCGTCTAGAGTAAGAACAAACCATGAAGAAGGGAAGTAGCCATTGAAAATCTTAAAGATTGCATAAAAATATCATCAGATATCTCTTGAACTGAAGCAGAGCACTGTCAGAGATAGTGCCAGAAGATGAGCCTCTCAGGTAAATGGCACTCAAAATATGACCGAGGAAGAGCTGGCTTCTCAAAGTAGAGTCGACCATAATCGCATGGATGGAGTAAAGCCTGTAGGACCTTTATTTGTTTATAA